ACTGTGTTTAAGTTTTGTACTTTTTTTTTTCTTTGCATAGATTGACCTTGTGCAAATTAAACAGATGTTCACACAAATGTATCAGAAGACTTTGGCTACAATGATAGCAAGCGATACCAGCGGTGATTACAGGCGTTTGCTGCTGGCAATTGTTGGTCAATAGAAGAGGATTATCTGGGTTTTTGTTTTCTTTTTTAAAACAAACTGAAGCACATGTAACAGGCTTTATGCAGAGATTGACTATCCTTGTGTGTAAAAGAGTAATTTTAAACTTTGTATAATCAAATACGCCTTCTTGATGATTCAATAAGCTTATTGCACTTAGAATTGCCTTAATTTACAGCACGTAATATTCTTTATTGTATAATAAAAGATATATCTTGTCTATTAGCCTCTAAGCCTTAGTGCTTTTGACCCAGACAAAACCACCTCCCCTCTGCCAGACTCTTGCAAGATTAAACTGTCTCAGCCAAATCTCCAGCACTCAACAAGTTTCTTGAAATACCTAAACTTAATTGCTGAGCTGACTGTGGATGACAAAAAAAGCCTGAGGCTGTGATGTAAAGCATTTTCTGCGCCCCCGCCCTTTAATGTCTTTCCATCCTCATGTTGAAAAACATACAAGTGCTCAGTTGAAGTCACATTACACTTACCGTTTAAGGACCTTGGCTCAATCTGATAACCTGCCTACTTAATTTCTTAAATTAGTTACTATTAGCGGTTAGTTAGCATTATGCTTAAGGCAGCAGTGGAAAGGAGAAACCATCTTGGATTTAATTCTGAAGTATCTCTTTGTAAATGAGTGGGTTATACAGCAACTGACTGAGCAATGAAAAATCCAGCATCTAAATGCTAATGCTACAGAACACGTGTAAATCCAAACTGAAAGCCATTGTGACCTAGACAATACAAATGACTATGTGGATGTTTTCAAAGGATTTAAAAAGAGCAGCTTTGAATCGCACATTTGCTTTTTTTAGCAAGCTACAGTGAATCTGTCCCCAGCCATAAATTTAACAGAAGCTTCAAGTCCAGCACCTAGCAATGTGATTCCTAACATTTCTAAGCAACGTTTTAACAAATAATGATTGTACTATGGGACACCCTCATACAAACAACAAAACCCTACTTCTATTATCCCTCAAACAAAAATAGCTAGGGCTTGTAGAGTTGATTCTAATATGGTAAACCTTTCACTCTTACACAGCAGGTACATAAAGGTTTTTGCAAAACAGTAACAGTAATCAAATTTACCAAAAAAGCTTAAATATTTCACTTACATCAATGTTCTGCAACCTAAATCTGACTTTCGACTTAAACTTTTTCTGATATTAAACTTAGAAATACAGTTCAGTTTAAAATTCCTGGGTCAGATTAAAACTAATTATTTCAAATACAAACAATAGATAGAAGTTGATTTGAGGAGACTAAAAGACATTCCACTCCGCATTACTTTGGTCATCCTTGGTGCAAGTATCTACCGATAAATACACATATATATATATACACACACATCTGGATCTATATCCATATCTCTGTCAATAGCTTTCCAAGCTTGACAAAGATTCTCATAAGCTTTGGTTCTTGTTTCTTTGCTCGAGCAAGCTTCCTTACAAATGAAGCAGGTTAGCATTTAATAATTAAAGCATATTAGTGCATCTGTATCTTTTTACATGACTAAAAAAAATCCCACCACTTCACTTCTCATTCAAAGCAGAGTACTGATTAAGTCTGGCTCATACTACTACTACTACTACAAGAAAATGAACAGATGAATTAAGGTTCTGTGTCCTAATGACAGTTCACCTGCTTTATGGCAAAGAGTTACTTTCATTACATACTAGTAACAAAGACTTTTTAAATGGATAACAAGAATTGAATGATTGATAATGAAACTGTAGCAAAAAACAGGCAAGAAAAAATGAACAGATACTGTCTATCCTGCCTCTGAAAAGCCCCCTTTTTTTTTCTCTGTAACAAACATAATGGTGTTTCAATGTTAGAAAAAAGAAAGCCATTTAAGACTGTTCCCCTCAAAAAGCGTTCAGACGCAAACCAGAAGAGACCTACCTCTTTCTAAGAGAAGAACAGCCACAACCCCAAACATCTGTCTTTCAGCGAGAGAGCCCAATCTTCACAATGCAATAGATACGACTACAGAAGTTTTTCCATTTCACTACTGGAATTTAATAAGCTTTGAAAGGAAAGCTGTTGTTTAACACTGTAAATACTTTTGGGTGGTGAAGTTGTGTGTTTGCCATTAAACTAAATACAGGCAGACTCTCTGAACTAGGCTGGTCTTCCCTGTTTGGCTCACCAGGTGGCAGCAAGTTTCTCGACAGTACAAGTCCCTGCTTTAAAAAAAGCCCCCAAAGACCTTATTCAAGCACGTTCTGTACTTCTGCTTCTCAGTTTGACTGAAAGGCATTTACACTTTCTTGGAACAGTCAGAACCCCGAGCCCACCGCTGAACATTCCTCCCCCCACCGGCGCCCTACATGTAAGAGCGCCGCAGATGATGGTTTGATTTAGCAGTTAGGGAAGAAGTGGCCTATTCCCTGGGACCCAGGCAGTGTCTGCTGAGCCCAGGGCAGGTCAGGAAAGCTCCAGCTCAAATCAGGAACCAACCACGCCTCTCACAGCTTTTGCCACCTCTGTCCTTTGGCTGACAGCTATTTTCAAGCATTCTCCCCTCCCTATCAAAGAACAGCCTAAGGACATAAAGACTTCCCCCTGCCACTCTTAAAACATTAAAAGCAGAAAACAAGCAATGCAAACTACTTACAGTTTTCTGGCAGGGAGGATATAGTTTCTTCTCCCCAACAATGCAAGAATTAGAGACGTCTCCAGATTCCACCTTTCAGAAACATAGGAATGAAAAATGAGTACCTACTTTCCGAATAAAGAAGAGCCACAGACATAACCCCGTTACCTCACTACTTGCTTAAAGGGTGACAGGAGACACACAGCATGAGAAATCAGGTCAACAACAACAGCCTAAGAAATTTTTTTACTGCACATCTGCCTTCATATCTGACAAAAACTACTACAGACAACAGATACTGCAAAGGAATCCTCAAGAAGCAAAATGGATATTGCAAGGGAATCCTCAAGGAATCTGCAAGCATCATTGCAGCCCGGGCACTTACTGACAAGCAAGTATCAGACCCAGTTCTCTCCAATTACAATAAAGTCTTTCCAGACAAATATTGAATCTGTGTTTTCTCCAAACAAACTCCAAACTCCAGCTAGTCAGAATACTAATCACAACTAAGATGTAGGTACCAAACAATGAAAAATACTGTCTGGTGAGGTTGAGAAATTTCCACTAGCACTTTCACAGAGGAAGGGACCATCGCAGTGTTCATCACGTGTTTGTTCTGCTCTAAAACATCATCATACACAGACTATACAGCTTGCTGCTATGGGGTGCTTGATTTAAAAAAAAAACAACCAAAACTAAACTTACCATTTTTTAACTTGATCTTCTGCACTCGAACTTGGAGAAGAGTTTCTAATTAGAATGCATCTGCAATACAGTAAAATCAAACATTAAAATTCTATTAGGAAGTGTGTTTATTATTTTTAGTGTGCTTATTTTTATCTTAATTCTCATCCTGTTCAGCAGCTTGTCCTTACTTTAAAAAAAATATAAGAGAAAGACTAAATCAGGTATCTGTATTGGTTGCCAAGTCAGTCCTTCCCCTCTGCCCAAAAAGCAGCCCCAATACACACTAGTGTCTGGACCTTTAGTTAAATCAGCACACAAAACGTAGCTGTACTTAACAGCCTCAACTAACCCTGCTCTTACAAGCTTGTACAAACCATCAATGGATGTCCACTTTAGTGGACAGAAAGTATTTTATTTGTGAGAGAGAACTTAAAAAAAAAAAAAAAAAGCAGCAGTAACAGTTAAATAGCATTTACATTAAACCACTTCTCTGCAAGTTAAATCTGACCTTTTAGGCTCTTTTTTTCAATAGCTTAAATTTTGAAGACTATTTCTAAACAATTGTTTAGGTCAGATTAGACCTATGTATGCCAAATAAAACCAATACACAATGATAGGAGCCGCAGCCCATGCACAAAATTTATTGTGTGCTACTCTTTATAAAATACTTGAATAGTTCAGAACATGCATAAAATTTCCAACTTAGGGGTATGTACAGATTGTACTTTATAGCAAACAAAAAAAAAAACAAAACAAAAAAAAAGGGAGAGATGAACTCTAGTGACAGAAGTTTCAAGTCGTGTTCCGGGGGATGAGAAGGACATGTAGCAAATGTCAAAATATAGAACAAAGTACAGTGGCAATCAGTACAGTCCATTATTTGTGAACAAATCAGCACAGGGCTTCAATTTTTATTTTAACCAAGCAGTCCTGTAGATACCAAAGTACATGCAGTCTCAAGTTTACACTTTCACTAATGCCTTAGCAGTTGAACAGAGCAATTGCTTATGCGCTGCTTTGCCTAAACAAAAAGTATGTCTGATACAGTTTCAGTTTCCTTTACAGATTTAAAAATAATAAAAAGCTTGCAGCTATTCAGCCCAGTGATTATTAGCTATTTATGCAACCGTAATACTCACAATAAACTAAAAGTACCCATAACATCTAGGTAGCCTATAGATGTACATCATAGGTCTATATATTAAATATTTGCAAAATGAAAACATGCATACACAAAATACAATGCCAAGCTTTACAGACTTGATATGAATCAAAATTTACTTAAACAATGTACAAAGTTCAATTAAAAGTACCTTAAAATGAACACTTCCATATTTTTCTTACTTTTAAAATTAGTATATATAATAATTATTTTTTTTTTTAAATTCAAGGTGGGGAAGAGTCTTGAAAAAGCTGGGCAAAAAAGTTTCTAAATTAAATATTTTTTTTTAAATCTGTGTTCAAGTAATAAACATTCCTACATAGAAATCTTCTCATAAGCTGTAACTAAAAAATACAGTGAATACAATATAGAATTAGCAACATCTAAGGAGTAAACCTGAGGTCAGCATTTTACAGAATGACCAACTGAGATTTTTTTTTTTTGGCATTTTTTCTGTCTATTTAAAATACAGTTTTTGCAGCCTCAGATATTTTAAGACCATTCTAATCTATCATTTTAAAGACATTTCATGAAACCGATGTCCATTAATAAATAGTTAGCTCTTAGGGTTGTATTTGAAAGTCTGATTTAAAAAACCAAACAAACGAACTACCTCTACTGAAAGAAAAATCCCATTTGTAAACTTAAAAGTGTTGACAACGATAAGCATAAGACGCTAGTCTAGATGTGCTTTAGTGATAACAGCCCGATTCTTTCCCCAGCTGTCTTCTGAAGCCTCGGCAGCCGGTGATGGACTTCGCGTAAATAGGTGAGGCACACTCCCAGGAGGTCGGGTCACCACGTAAAGAGAGGGGCTGTTGTCTCAAAAGCATGATGGTCTTTCTTCAGCGGGATCAAGTCAGACGGTGTTCCACCTCTTCTTTAGTAGTCACTTCAAGCGATGCCCCTGGCTATTTCATCTGTTGTCACATCAAAAAGCAGTAATCTAGGAATTCTCAGGCAAGACATGAGTGAGTAAACCAGAAGCCGACGTGGTCACTGTGCATTGTTGTTGCCAGTCCCATTGTTTCCATTGGCATTTGTTGTGTTTACAGTATTAATACCATCTTGTTGAAGAGCATCTTTTCTTGGTGGCATTCTCTCATTGATCCTATCCAAACCTTTTGCTTCTTCAAAACTGCAGATTTTATGTTGCGGAGAGAATCCTCGTATTGCTTAACAAAATGCAAATTTGATATGTCAGTAATGGAAAAAGAAGTTGAAAGCATATACTTTTTCTAACAAATGATGTTTAAAAACAGCTAAGAAATCAGCCAAAGAAACATGGCTCTGCATCTGTATTAGTGAAAGCTTCTCTAACCTGCTTTCCCGAAACGTTCAACGGCAATCATGATTTCAGTTTGTAACAAAAAGAACCAAGTATGGCAAATATTCTGCAAGTAGGAATCAAGGGGTTTAAGCCCACTTGATTGCTTCTGCGTGTCCCTGGCGTGGCCAGCTATCAACACCAGCTGCTTTTGCCGCCCAGTGCGTCAGGCTTATCTTAACATCCCCCCTTCTCTCTGGTGGAATGTCAGTAAGGTCTAAGCAGCGCAGCAAGTGCAGTGGAGGCAAAGCAGCAAAGGGTTACAAAAGTAATCGCAGATTTACATCCTGCACACACATCGATGGCCCGATCCCGCCGTTTTCATGCAGGCAAAACTGCGGGATGTGGTTCACATTCTGTGCTAATCATGTGGATGATGGAAATGGACACAACCACAATCACTGAGTTAGCACTGTGGTTAAACAATGGTATCATTTAAATACAAATGTATTTAAAGCAAGTATAGAAAATAGGTATTACTTTGTTACTGTTTATTTTAATGAATGAGGTCTGTAGTTGAATTTAGACCTGAAAATGGCTGACCACATAATAAGACTGAAGTCTTTGGGATGAAATAATTCTTTGGAGATTTAAGTACAGCTTTCCACTCACAACAACAGGACCTCTTGCACGTGTGTGTGAGAACAGAATATGGCACTTGTTTATATTTTTGGAGATGTGACTTCCTTAATTAAAAAACAAAGAATACAGTCATTAAACGGTGCTTTGCGACCAAATCGGAAAAAACCCCAAAGGTATCTCTCTCAACTGCTAACACTGCTTGTCATTCGTTACATTGAATATTGAGCAAGAGGAAATTAAAGTATCTCTGAAGACAACAATCTGATGTTGAATACTCTGAACACCAAATAATTTGATGGCATTTTGCCCAATACCACTAGCAAAGGATGAATATACAACTTATTTAGCACAGAAGCACTGACAATCCATGGAATTTAATATGCCTCACACTGGCAGGCTGGTGTATATACTGAAAATAAATTTAGTCAATAAATTATGTTCAAAATCTATAGAAAAAACATTACATTCATACTATCAGATGTGTTACGGAAAGTTTTAAAAAAATACGTTCAAAGCCATTAAAATAGATTTTATGAGAAAAGGCATGCATAAACAACCCTCCTTCCACATATAAACCCCACACAATCAAACAAAACCTTGCAGTTGAATGTAGAAAAAAAAATACTAAACACTACCATTTTTAAGGACTTCAAGACAACACCATGTATCACAACATGCTATTATACAAAAACCTACTGCATATTTTGTAAAAATAAACAAAAAAAGACCAAAAAATCCCAAGAATTTCCCTATAATATTAAAGATATCCTAATGATATCATCATCCTAAAGCCAGAAATGAATGTTACATGTAAAAGGGATGAATCAATACAGTTGATTCATCTCTGCTTGTGCAAGTTGAAAGTAAAACACACCCACACAGAGTACTTTTGAATTCCCTCCCAGACACCACAGATCTCTGCCAATGGCAAAGACTCTGATCATACCTTTTTCAGCCTCAATTGCCTCTACAGTGGCTGTACAGAAGTGAGCAGATGCATGCAAAATGAATGAGAAAGATGAAGAGTGTAATATCGCATAGCAGAAAAGGCAATGATCAATTTAATATAGTATGCTACGCCAGATTAGATTACAATTAGTTAAAATGATAATTAAGGTTTTGGGGGGTTGTTTTAAAGTTTAAGTGAAACTTCTAAATTTTAACTACTACAATTTATCAAAGTACATCAAAGCATCACTAATTAACTGATGTTATTAACTGCACATTTCTAGAAGTTTTGTTGTTTTGGTTTTTAAAAACAGCAACAGAAAATTTCAACTGATGTTAAAGTTGTGGTATGGTTTAAAAACAATTAATAAAAATCTATTTGAGACTACCATTTCTGAAGATTAAAATGCAGTAATGAACTTCATTAAATTACCAGGAAGGACGCTATAAAAATAACACTATCAGTGCTCTAATAATAGTAAAAAATTATTTTTCTCTTTATGTTTAGGTCTCTGAAGTTTAACTTCAATTTCTCACCGTATTTTAAGCTGACACAGGTATCTCTGAGAACTGAGCTGTGAAGTGTACACCACAAACGACAAATCTAGCAAGTCATATTTACAAAGTCTCGTAAATTGTTTAACTGAATCGACAACAAATTCTAGAGCAGGAAGAGGTCTGGTCACCATAGTCTTGGTGGGTGAATTAATGTGAATATGAAAAAAATCTAGCTTACTAGTTGTTTTTCAAAGTAAATAACCATGACATCTGCTGTAATTTCTTAGGTGTAATATCCTTCTCAATTGTTCTAGCTCTAGAAGTCAAAGCTTTAACATAAGGTTATTAGGACATCAAAATAACTTTGTTAGGATAGACTTGCTGAAGAAACTACTTTGTAACTACGACCTAAACTGTACCTAAGTTTCAAGAAGTTTACCTCCCCTACTATGTGCCATGCCTCTAATACCATAATTTCAGAAATATTAACAAAAAATAGCATATATAGTGGTGAACCTACTTGCATAACGCTTGATACATACTGCTAACAACATAAAATTGTAACAGCAGTATCCAAGCAAATGTTGCGGAAAATAGCTACGTAAGAAAATATGGCATTAGATCAGAATAGAATTCTTTAAAGCGAATTAAGTTTATTACTTCTCATTTCCTATCCAAAAGAAATCAGACACATTTCTATTGCCAACACTATGCCTTAACCTCACTGTTGCATAAAATTGTAATTTCCACTGAGATACTCTAAAAAAACCCAAACAAAATTAGATACTTGCATTAAATGCTACTAAAATAATGTGGAATACTTAAGGGTAATGCAGCATTTTAACTTTTACATACTGCACATTCCATGGTACTAAAATAAACAAATATTTTCCTGCACTTAAATCTACAGAGACAAGGGCAATCCCAGAATTAAATCAAAAAGCCACTTGAGTGGATGGTTATTTATGTTTACGTTAAGGGAAAGAAACGTTCTCAAATTGTAAAAATCAATTAGTTTAAGAATTACTTTAGAAAGTCACCAAATACATACTTTCATACTATAATCAATTTGCCATACAAATACAAAACTATAAAAAGAAACCACCTCTTTCCACCATTTCCTGTTACCTGTGAAGTCTTTGTTTTCAATCTTTTCCTGAAAAGATCACGAATACTGATTTATCTCTGTAAATTATGTAGCTTCATCATAAATACAAATTTCAAAATTTACTCCTAGTTCATTCTACTCGCAGTACTAGTATTCCAACGAGATCTTGGAATACACATGACAGTTAAGAAAAAGGTAATTTTCAAGTTGACATAAAAGAACAAACTGACTGGAAAATGCAAGCACTTAAAAAAACCACACTGTAAAGACTCAATTTGGAAAATAATTTTGTTGGATTCTTTTGCAGGTACATCTAAATTAAAACTACATTCTTTGTAAACCCTGATAAATCTCAGATAAATACTGTATCACACTAATGTAAAAGGTAATCCTGAAGTCTTTGCTCAGAAAATTCTCAAGAGCAAATTTTAAGCAACAGGGTTCAATGGCATTTCCATCCTCAATTCCAGCTCTCCCCATGCTTGTCTTAGGGGACAGATCTGATACAAAATGCTTGCCAACTTTCAACATAAAACCAAAAAACAATCTTACTGCCCCTCTGACTAACAGCAAGGGCAGCAATGAAAGATTAGAAGTATTTGGATAGTTCAATTGATTTCCATGGAAGTACTTATAATTTTTAATTTAGGCTTGTGTTTAGTTATATTGCTGAATAAGGCTTCAGGTGTGTTTTTTTTTTTTTTTAATAGATGTGACTCAATTTGGAAAATAGTTTTGTTGGATTCAGTTCACAGAATAAGTCACTAGGAAACACTACTTTAAAGAACAGTACTTAATATGGTCTTTAATATTTCAGCTACTACAATGCATGCAACATAAACAATAAAACCCATAAATCTACATTTAAAAATAACCACTTGGAAACATACAAAGGCCACGATTTCCCAAAGTCTGTTTTTATCCTAGTACAATTAAAGCTGTCTAAAAATAACCTATGATTCATTTTTAAAATTAATATCTATATATTTGTGGGGAAAAAAAAAAATCATATATTGACTTCTTCCATGGGACGCAGTTTTGCACTTTTTCCCAAAATTATCTTTTTAAACTCACTTGTCTTTGTTTAACCCTTTCACTACAGTTAGAATTTGTATTTTACCCTCAGACTTCTGCTTTGCAGTAAGAATCTGTTCAAGCATTGCCCATAAAGCAGTTTTATTAGACTGACTAATGCGTTCGGTGCCCTACTCCGCATTATGTCAATGCCAATAAGCTTCTCTCCTCTGAGAATGGCCAATATCTCACAAAAGATAGCCGGCGTGGCTGAACAAATTCCTGAAACAGTAATGGTATTTGTGAAGATCTAGTATAGACTATGTTACTGACATTAAGAATTATAATAGGCATATATGCAAAAATCGCATGTGCATTGCCTTAATGGTGACTTACTTATATGTCTATATCTATATATTTGCCCCAATAAAAAAATTTCAGCCCAGCTCTCTAGAGAAATGTAGATACACACTCCAATTTCTTACAGCTTTCAAAGCTTATTATAGATTTAATAGCAACCAGCACAAGTAGACCTTTTCTCAGTGTGCCATTGAAAAATGAGCACTGGTAAGGCTGAAACCTTGGAAACCCAAGACATATTGGTAAATTTTGTGAATTTTCAAGCAAACAAAAGAACAGAATAAAAAAATACTAAAATTATTATGTTCTTCTATTTTCTTATATCTAGACTAGTTTAAATCATTGACAGTATATTGATCAACATAGTACAATATACTTCAAAAAATAATTAAATACTTGTAAAAAATCCTACTATACTATCAGTGTAGTATACTACCATATTTTTGCCAAGAATATGAATTCACTGATCTCACAATGGTTTAGGAAAGTGTCAGTTAGTAAATTTTATTTAATTTTTGGTTTACTTCTAGCTTTGCAGTTCAGCATAATAATTTGAAAACTGCTGTTTGAAGACTGAAACAGTAAAATTCTTATCAGTAAAAAGAAGTTACTGCAATGTAAGAAGAACTAACAGTTGGCATGAGTTATTTTGAACAAACAACATGACTGAAACGAATGAGGTATATTAATGTAGTGCATCAAGGAATATTGCCATCAAAAGTTCTAGTCAAGAACGAAACACACCCACAAAAATCCAAAACGCATTTTGCATACTTTCCAAATGTCCAACATTTTCATAGAAAGTCATATGTTTTATGTTAAAAAAATTTTCTAGTCAGTTTGATCCTCTCTGATATTTGTAATGCACCATGGATAAAAATCTGTCAAATGAGTGAGAGGAATGCAGACTCATTTTTTTAAGCATAATAAAGTATCCTATTAAACAATGAAGATTAAAACTAGAACATATGCTTTTGGAATAGTTGGATGGATTAGGAAACATACACCATTTCTTGTTATAGACATTCACAAAACAATCACATACATACACTGGACATATAAACTCCCTTGTAGACATTATATGTCCACCAAAAAATGATTTAAAATGTGACATTCATGTTTCAAAGCTATTAAAAAACCAGCTTTGATAGTTTAATAGAAAATGTAGTGAAAGGCTTTAAAAAAACTACATAGAAAATTTAAAAAATTCAAATAAACAGCCTAAATCAGAAAATGAGAAAAGCAGCTACTCTTGGAAAACAGATTGTGTAAATAGTGGTATTCACATACCACGATCTTTCAACAGTTATAAAATTCAGTGGTCCCACACAACAGTTTTATACTTTCTATTAAAGCCTGAAGATAGCAAATAAAAACTCTTTGGATAATTTATGTTCAGAGTGCTGCTGATACGAAGTCCAGTTTCAGACTGGTATATTTTAGTTATCCACCATTGTGAACAGAAACCTGGACTTCATTCTTTTAACATATTTGGTACGATCTCATAGCATTCTCCCTGAGCCTAGCTAATCACTTATGGGCCTTGTGAAAAATACTATCCAATGATTCAACAAACTAAAAAAAGAAGAAAAACCTTTTACAAAATATTCAATGAGCCAGATTACAGGTATATTTTGTATAGAGTTCTTTTTATTTTCATGCAAAAAAAAATATGCACACTTAATAACACCCTTTTATTCTGATTTATTTACAAGTTTTAATTTCAATCCCTTTATTCTCAACTGATTTAATAACAATTACTGAATATTTTTCAAGTACATTGTTGTTCAAAATGCACAGATAATGTGCAGCAGCAAATGCAGCAAACCTCAAAAACAAGGTGCTACAACATTGCTTCTACATCAAGAGACAGACAAGTGTCTGGGATAGTGGTTTAATTTTAACACTTATACAGACATACATCTATACCTAGAGAGAGACAGACAGATCTAAGAAAGCAGCTACATCTGCAGAGGAAGGAAACAGCATGTTACAAGGACAATTCAGGGAGGTCAATTATACATAGAACATTTGACAAACAACATAGAGAACAAACTTTGGCATTAATTACCAGGGTACAAAACATAGTACATTTTAATCTATCAATGGAGTGTGATATGGAACTCTACAGTCTGCAGCTGTTGGTTAATATCAACAAGTATTTGACATTGTCAATGAAAATACTAATACATCTATAATAATACCATTTTAATGGATAGCAGACAAGTAATGATGCAAAATTACACTGCCATTTTAGTATCTGTAATGATCAAATGACTCAATATCAGATCTATAAGGTCACCCCACTTCAGGCATCTGCACCACCTGAAAAACTGTAAGCTAAGGAAGCTCAAAGTCTGAAAAATGTGACCTGACACCGCTGAGCTCATTTGCTTTCAGTTTTATACCCTGGTTAAGTATCCATTTCACATTGCCTGATTAACACATAACACTATGCTTGTATCAGCCGCTAAGACAAGAACTGAAAAGCATAAGAAATTCCCTGCATGCATTATGTGTAGTGTTAGCAAAAGAGTGAGAAGTGCCCCAGTCCATCTGAGGCACAGCAAGTTGCATAACATCATTACCACTTTGTAGGGTCTGTCGTCCTCCGGCCAACACTCCACTAGGTAACATTCCAGTGGGAGTCAAACCCTTGAGTGTCAGCACACTTTCGCTCTCCTCCCTGGTGTGAGAAAAAACAGTAACAAACCCCTAAATATTTGCTCACAAAAACTTGTATTAAAGTAAAATAAGGGATGGGGAGAGGAAGCACCTATTTTTGCTCTTCTTTATGCATGTCAAGACTGAACGTGAATTCAAATTCAAAGGGGAAAATATTTCTATTCCATACCAGTCTCTCCTCTGCTTAGGAGTTACAAACACTGAGTACTTCTGAACCAAATTCTGAATAATTATTCACATGCAGGCTCATTAGCTTTGAAATTAGCACTGAATGCCTCATGAGGTACTGAACATATCTCAGTGCCATAAAACAATCCACAACTTTGTTCAAAGTGTCTGTGCTTCAGGAAACATCAATTTTAAAAAATTAGCCCTATTTGAACAATTATGGTCTGTGGAAAACTATACATTCTGGGTAAATGCGATCATGAAATCTCTACATCTAGACAGGTACAAGAAAACGGTATTTTTTTTAAAAGCTGAAAACAAACAAACAAAAACTCAAAACAAAAAAACATAGTCCTCAATTTTCGGGCATGACAAAAATTTTCTGAGTCAGTCCTAAGCTCTTCCATTACATGTTTGATTTCAGTATCTCTACTTTGCTATTGTCTTTCCAACACTTGTAGATAATGGCTGGACAAATAACTTGTAAACTAAAGATTATTTCCTGAAACATGTCTCAAAAATATTTTTTAACCAAAATACCAACATCAATGGGATGCATCAATATGCCAAACATGATCCTGATGCACAATGGTCTCCCTGAAAAATATTTGGCATCATTATCCTAGAACAGGGATCTGTTTTCCTAATATACCTAACAGGAGGGGGTTTAGGAATACAGAAGTCATGCAAGTACCTGAGAACAGAGAAGACTCTTGCCATCTTGCCAATTGCACGAATTTTGTTTCTGATTATTTCTTTCCGTGCGGCAGCTGTACCTACTTTCAATGGAATAAGAGAGAGTCTCAAGCTCGTAAGTATTTACAGGGTGATCATTTTAAAGTGCATCAAATTCAACACAACTGTTTAAGTTCAGTACTCTTCACAGGAGGCCAGTACCCAAACACTTAAGGGCACAAAGTTATAAAATCATGGCTTCAGAATGCCATCAAAACCATCATCACCTTTGTGTCCACAAAACACACACAAAACAGTTCAGGATGCTCATCGTGATTTGCTAAAGCTAGCAAGCATCTAAATTACTGTCACTACAGTATAGTAACTATCATAATTCATTTGCCTGAATTTTACACTTGAAATTCTTCACTGACATCTGTGTATATCAAGATTTAGGCATGCAGCCCAATACAGAAGCCAAAGAGATATTAAAGCCACAAAAAATACAGATTTGTTGCTAATTCTTACACAGCTGTCCAAGAGAAAACAGTATTTTGTTTGCTTGGTTTTATGTCAGCTCTGCAAAACACACACCCACAAAAAAAAACCCACAAAATAAAACGCCAGAGAATTGCAGTGTTACCTCCTTTACCACTTAATTCTACGTTCTATATCACCTTAGGTTTGCATCATTTGCAGAAATTAGAAATACCAAAAATCTGGAGTAAATACTGCATATTCCACAGAGCAGAGAGATACCATTTGTTGCAGATAAAAGTGAAGACGAAACTCTGAAAGGAGGCTTGCGATTGGGAAGGAGAATCACCTTTGCCTGCCTTGACATTACAGAAATGGAAGCTCCTTTCTCCAACACTAGATATTGCTGGTTTGTTTCAATGCATAAAACTAATCCTTCCTCTTGTCCTCCTTTCCCTTTTGCTGCCTCCTCATTTCCACTAAACCAGTAAAGGCAGATGAGGAGATATCAAAACTAAAATCCTTACTTCTCCTCAATCATTGGGAAAGGAGTATTAATCACAGCAAGGTAAAGAGTAACTCAGTCATACTTTGAATTTAACCACAGGGGACCAAAAGAGAACAAACTCAAGACAGCTCTGTTAGGTATTCCAGATATTCCACGTATCATTGTTCTTCAATCCTGGGAGAAATGTACTCATTAAAAAATTGCCAAACTAATTTGCAAGAATGTAGAAGAGAGGATCACAGAAGTGGGCAAAGGAAAGCTGCATATCCACAGATTTGTCTACCTGCATTCAAAAAAGGCAGCTGTGGAAGAAGCCTTATTTCATCTCTGCTCACTAGTATTTAGCTTCCCCACGGGAGTACGTACACTCTAGCACAACAGTCACCCTTTCCAGACCACATCTGCAAGAACACAAGGCTTTCTGTTGCACAAGTGTGGGTAGACTTCCCACTCTGAACACCAAACCCAATAAAATACAAAAGAAAAGGCATACAGGGGCAAACAACAACAACAAAATCACACAAGACGGAAAACATATAGTAACAACAAAGAAAACGGGAGCAAGAGACAACCTTCTTATGAAAAACACGAGAGATAACCTCTTCTATGTAAAGCTTTCTTAGACAAAGGAACAACTTTAATTAACTGCGGACACCAAATTAAAAAAAAAAAAAAAAACAAATAACAAAGCAAACAAACCCCTAAAACATAAGGTTCAGGAAAAACTTCAAATAGGATAGGCTGAAACATTCCATTTTTACTGACAATAACTTATTTTAGATTTTAATTTTCAAAGTTCTAGAAGTTCTTACTTTCTGTCTTTGAACACTATTAAATAACAGCTTGAGGATCTGGAATGAGGAGAAGACTCTTTCAGAGTTTTTGAAAAAGCTAGGGCTAAACGAGGGACCATCTCTTT